TGCAGCCCTTCCTTTTCTCCAATTTTGATCTGCTAACTTAGGTTGTTAACCCTCCAGAAGAAAAGCTAATTATTAACCTGCAATTTATGCAATTCGGTTGAGATAGAGTCTTACTGAGGCACTTGTTTGCTCAGGCTGAGCTAGAACTCGGAATCCTCTGGCCTCAGTCTCCTAGCATGCACCACCAGGCCTGGCCTGCACTTCAGTTGATAGGAGGCTTTTCTCATCTTTGTAAGCATCTTTCTTAGGTGCAAGGTAGCGCTGTAGGTGGATGGATGCTTATAGGTGGCTCCACTGTGACCTTGTAACTCGGCATCTCTAGAAGGGAGGAATGGAAATGGCCAGCATGGCCCACGAGTGTCTGTCCTCCGGTTAGATACGGGCAGCTTTACGTCCTCTTCCTGCGGCATCATTCTCGGACCTCCAACAGCTCCGGAGCAGAGGTGGTTTTATATCATCTGCCACGGTAGGGTTCATGCCCACTTCCTTTCTCTCTGATTGGAAAATAGGAACCAAAGCCTGTGGATCATTTTCTGCCCTTTTTCACCTTACAGAGAGGGCACCTGTAAGAAGATGCACATACTGAAGTTAAATAGGACAGGGAAGTTTGCCTTGAACGTAGTGGACAACCTGGTCGTCGTCCATCACCAGGATACAGAGGTCTGAGCTATGTATGGGGCTCTGGTCTGGGTTTGTACAAGTTGGGGTTGCTGGGAAGCCTTGGGGGGTTTGGGCCTTGATGGACCCCGTAGTTTGGGCAGGATTCACTTCCTGTCCCATCAGCATCTGCGCATAGGCAGGACACAGGGAGGGCTTCTCCCTCCCCACCAGGCAGAGGAGTAGTAAGGCCCTGGGCTGGGCTGTGAGAGAATTCCAGACCCTTCCATCTGTCAGGCCCCCCAGACCCTCTGTTAACACGAAGAATCACAAAGCTAAAGGATGCAGAGTGGGGAAGGAGAAAGGACAGGAAGGATGGTGAAGTTTTAGGGAAGAGAAAAAGAAAAGGCATTGTGGAAATTGGCAAACTTTCTGTTCAGTGAACGACTGTACAGTTCTCTCGTTTGTGCTGCCACTGGGCTGTACTCTTAACCCTTTTTATTTATTTATTTGAGGCAGAGTCTTGTTATATAGTCCAGGTCAGCCTTGGACTCATGGTGATCCTTCTGCCTCAGCCTCCCAAGTGCTGGGATTACAGGGGTGCACCACCACACCCAGCCCTGCTCTTTTAAATTTTGAGACAGTCTCACTAAATTTTCCAGGCTGGTCTTGAACTTGTGATTCTCCTGCCTCAGCCTCCCCAGTAGCCAGAATGCAGTTGTGTGCCACTGTGCCCAGCTTAGAAAGTACTCTTCCCACTTGACGTTTTGGTCTTCCTGGTGGAAATGGGTTTCATATTTTAGGAGAAGTTTATTTTTTGTTTTTGGTGCCAAGGACCGAACTCAGGGCTTCCAGCTTGCTAGGCAAGGGTTCTACTGCTGAGCCAAATACCCAGCCCTGGGTTTAGTATTTTCAGTGGTTTAGAAAAAAATGATTCCCTAACATGTGATGAACTATTTCAGAAAAAAGACATAAAATTTGAGCCTTGGAACAGTGACCTGAGTGAGCTGGGCTGGGAGTTCCCTGCAGAACTGCAGTGTCACACGAGGCTGTGTCCTTTGTCCTTTGTGTGTGGGCGCAGGTGACAGGGTCTGGGGATCCTGGTTTGAGGTGGTGGGTCCCAAGTGATGTGCAAGCAGCTCTGTTCTTTCTAGGCTGCTGACTGGGCCAAGCTCCTGCCCTCCAGCCTCCCAGGAGGGTGGCCGTCCTGTTTCTGACCAATAGAGGTGTTTTGGGTTCAGGAAAGAGACCCGGATGAGCTCGCCAGAGGAGATGGGGATGAAGAGTCAGGACTTGATTAGATGAGCGGTTTTCTTCTCAAGCGAGAACTTGAGCTGGGGCTCGGTGGGGAAACTCCATGTTGTGTCTTCTGTCTGCCGCAGACATCTGTGATATTTGACATCAAGTTACGGGGCGAGTTTGATGGCACTGTTACCTACCATCACCCGGTGCTTCCGGCCCGCTCAATCCAACCCTATCCGATCCCCCTGGCGGGTGAGTTTGATTCTGGGGAGAGGACACCTGGCCATGTTCTTGCTGTACCTTTGCTTTTTAAAAAAATTATGTATTTTTTATTTTCATTTTTATTTTATATATTTAATACAGGGACTATAGGGCCTCACTACACAGGTTGGACTCATGATCCTCCTGTTGGCCTCCCAGGTGCTGGGATTGCAGGCGCGCACCACCATGCCCAGTCTCAGTCACCATCTTAGTGCGTCCTGGGGGTGGGGCCGGCACAGCACACGGGGGATCGAATCCCTGGCTCCTGTGCCTATCTAGTGTTTTTAATCTTTTGATGGTACTGGAGAGTGAGCCCAGGCCCTTTGCACTGAGCTACACTTCCACGTGTGTGCTTTGCTTTTGAGATGGTCTCCTTAAGTCGCTGAGTTGCCCAGGCTGGACCTGAATGTTCATCTTCCTGCCTCAGCCTCCCGGGGTGCTGGGCCCCAGGCTGCCCTCCTGCTGTGTCCTCAGGAGTTGTGTTTACACAGGGATGGGCTCACACACAGACTCCAGGGCTGTTCGATTTGGGGCTTTTCCTTTTGCGTTGCTAGGTGGCACCCACAGCCTCAGCCCATTTCTGTTTTGCAGAAAACATAGCTCCTGCTGGTTATGTAAGCTAACAGGGGTGTCCTGTAAATGACTCTTGCTTTGATAAAAATAGGAAGCTGCGCTTCCCTGAGCTTTAGGATGGAGGCTGTGATTGCCAGTGAAGCTGACAATTTGCTGACCAGCCCGAACCATTTTCTGTTTGCCTGAGCTGAGACTTGGCTTGTGGCAGCAGTTAACAAATAAATACCCCATTCTCTGGTGAGCAGTGGCCGCAGGAATTACTGATGGCTGTGGGTCCTGGGTTATTCCCGATCCTCCTCCTCCTGCTGTCTGAAGAGGTACAGGAGGATGTGGGCAGAGTGGGCAAGATTTCAGAAAAGGGTAAACTGCTGTTTATTATTTTTTCCTGTTCCCCGTTTTAAGTGCATTTCTTTTCCCTTTCTTTTTTGATATTGGGGATTGAACTCAGGACCTTGTGCTTGCCAGGCAGGTGCTGTACCACTGAGCTATATCCCCAGCCCAAGTGCATTTCAAGAGCTCAATGTTCTAATCTTTTAAACGAGGGCAGAGTTCAGCGTGAGCTAGTTCTGGTCAGCGGAGGCCACATGTGTCAGTGGGCGCACACTTGCAGCTGGGCAGCCCCACGTTGCCTGTCGGGTGCCATCTCAAGGTCTACCTGGTCTGCACGCGGGTGCCGGCACCTTTAACAGCAGAGTGAGCGTGTGGCTCTGGGTGGGGGTTCAGCTGGGGCAGCACCTCCTGGAAGCCCTCCCAGCTTGCTGGATCTGCTGGGAGCACGCTTGCTTCCTGGTACAGTGCAGGAGGAGGAGCTGGTTCTCAGCTGTCTGCATTGTTCAGCTTGTCACCTCCCCCTGGGTGATAGTGTCAGCTTTAGAAGACTGGATCGAGGGAAGTGATTGCTTGTGCTTGCAGCCCACCTGACGTGAGGGAACGTGGTTAGAGAAGGGAGACTCACTGAAAACACTAGCTCGGATGTAGTGGTCCAGGGCCAGTTGACAAGCAGTTGGAGCCTGACTGTGGTGGTGCACGTGTGTAATCCCAGTATGT